TAAGAAACATACATATGTATTAGTTTTTGCAGAACATCATGCTCTTTCCCTTATTTTGCAAGGAAAACAAACAAACAAACAACACAACACAACAAATATGTAGTTTCTCCCATGAAAAGTACAAATTCAAACGTAAGCTTACATGTATAGACTACTGAATTGCCAAAAACTGAATCATGATGGACGCATTTTTTTGGCACGGATCGGATGAAAAATAAAATAATTTATATTACTGTTTAATTCTTTATGCAGTTAGTTTTGATTTTGCTATAACTTTAAAGGACAATTAAGTATGAATTCATGTTTCTTGGAATTTAATACGTAGATTATTCTTTTGATCTTTTTAATCCGATTGTATTTAACTCAGTCGCTAATTTTGTTCCATTTACTTTATCATTGGGAAAGCAATGGATATGAATGGATATAAAATCTATGGATAGGATAGAGATTTTAACAAAAATAACTTTTATTCTTTAGAAAAGCAAAAAAGAATTCAAATAGCATGTATTGTTCTAAAAATAGTGGATGGTCTGATTTGTAAAATCTCTAACATATTTTACCTAAAGGTTTGCATCCCCCTCGTCCTTTTCCATAGTTGCATATAAGCAGTTGTAACACGATTCCGTAGATTAGTTCATTCATTATTTTCATTCAGATCCAAGTAAGTTTTCTTTTTCTCCGTGGAATATTTTTTTAAAGTTGATTTTTACAAAATACAAGAAGACAACTGTGCTGCACACCCTTTTAATTTGATTGACTTTAGTTGGTTGCTGCCGCGTGTTTATCTTACATTTTTGTCTTTTTTTTTTAATTACAAAGCCACATAAATTTCACTTTGTTATGCACTGATCTATGCAATTTAGATCAAAATATCTTTTGTATCTCTTAAACTGATGTGACAGGGGCATACAATGTCATATCTGCATATCCATCCATATATTTCATAATTACAATCCACGCAGAGTATATTGAAGCTTAAGACATTGAACCAAGAACAAAGTTGTGTCTTATGTGTCTCAGGGACTGAAGAAGTACAAATGGGGAGAGAAAAAATATGTTTAACATGAATTATTTTCTTCCCTTTACAAATCGAGTAAAGCAATAAAGATAGATCATATAAGCAGGATTTAAAACACATACATTAGTTAATTCATAAAATTTATCTTTATTTTTTTTTATAAACTTTCCTTTTATTTCAGATGATCACGCCTTCGGTTATTTTCATATTTCTTGCCGGAATCCTGACACTTCATCCAGTTTACGCTGTTTCTACTCAAGAATCGCAAAGATTAACCTTTCTCTTATTAACTTTTGAGTGCATTTCTAAGAAGATAAAGGAAGGAAGTCTATGTCCTTCTCATACAGGAAATGAGATGAGGTGCTATAGAAGAGTGGGCATCCCCTGCAAACCCTTGTGTCCAAGTAAATTCATGCTGAAAGTGGACCGAATGCATTCATGAATTCAAAGGAATCCATTTTTTTTGCACTTGGTGTCGAAGTGTGATGGACCTGATCTTGAAGAACTTCGTGTTGCTATATTTTCTGCCATAACACAATCTCTCGTTTTCTGATAGTAAACATATATGTATCTTAGTTTTACCTTTATTTCTCCAAAAACAAAATAACCATGGTTTCCAATTCACATGTAAACTGCTCTTTTAATTAAATTAACAATTTCCTTTGAAATTTTAATAAAGGTGAATATATGTGATGATAAATATTAAATTTCTAATTTGCTTTCGAAATCTGAAGAAAAGTTGCCCTTTTTAAATTATGCACGTAGCCTGTTTAAACAGCTTGACATTCTATTGTCAGCAAATATAATACTGTATTTTAAAAAAGAAAAAAAAAACTTTTATCTTTAATTTTTCATCAATTTTCTTTAGGGTTAGGGTTAGGAAAAATATAAGTAAGTCAATCGAGTCAAAGGTTGATACATCTCTGTAACAAACAAATCGGTAATAATCCCTTTAAAAAAACGCAAACACAAACATTAAACAACAAACATCATATGTATTAAGATAAACACAATGGTTAAACAATATTTTCCTTGAATAAATAATTATTGTATCATAACATGATATTTTGTTTCAGTTTTACTTCAAATATTTATGGACAAAATTTACAAAAAAATGGAATAAAAGGTTTGTTCGTTAAATGCACGTGCGTGGACTAAAAGGACGTTAATGCGAATGTTTTTCTATCATGCACGTGATGTATTAAATTCTAAAAATAATCACTAAACCGCGCCGTTAGCTACAAATTACGCAAGAGGTTTAGGAAAAGATATTTTTTTCGGAAGAATACAATGGACGATGCATGCTGACAACCTATCAATCACAGCATCAAAAATGAGTGAATAACGAAAACGGAAGGCCTTCCCCAAAAAGCTTTGTGTTGGAGTTGAAGATTTGTGACAAAAGGTTATGACGTCAGAATTCTGCTCAAGGTAGGTTTTTTTCTACTATTGGATTCGCCCCTACAAACTTTACATTCCCTGATATAAATATCTTAAATATTTATCAATTCTTAAGAGAATTTTTCCTTTTGATTGGCCATGGAACAATTTATTTTGTGATTATTGCTTAAATGAAAATCCCAGCCCCTATATTCTCTCTTAAAACATAATGGTATAAACATTTTAGAAATACTAGAACAACCTAAACCACCGACTTGTTTAAAGAGATATGGTGGTAGGAGAAAGCATCAGTCTTCATGATAATGATAGAGAACGTATTGACACATATATTTATCGAATAAAATTTGCGTAGAAAGTTATCAATGAAATATATATGTACATGTACATAAAGAACAGTTGAATATGAATATTTTTTTCTTTTATATATAACAATTTTAAATATTTTCATAGATATAATAAAAATGAAAGATGTTTTCAGCAAGATTTATCGGTCTTCGTAATATGACTATAAAATTTTAGAATAATCAATAAATGTATGCAAGTTCACGAATGTTGTTGAATAATTTCAGATTTTGAATTGTAGAGAAAACATATTTGAATATTTATTTCTTTACAGAGAGAAATCACTCTAAGCCTTTTACTTTGTTTCGTCCGTGATGTGGCAAGTAATCCGATACTATCGAGATCCGGTCAACATCCTACAAGAGTAACCTTCTCCTTATCAACTCTTCGGAACATTTCAAGGATGATCGATTAAGCAAACCGATGTTCAAGCCAAACCGGAAGCAATATCTGTCCAAGGAGTTGGGTACCGAATATTGACGTACACAGAATACCAAAAGTTATTTATAGAGCAGAAAAACTCCCGGAATCCCTTTGTGAGATTGATAATGATAAAGAATGTATATATGATAACACAATATTTGATGTTATGAATTTAGACCGATATTCTGATGGAACGTTTGGCCTCAGAAAAGACGTTATAGAACTACCTGTTGCCATGGCATGTTTAATGAGCTCTGTTTTAAATGGTGGACATGCTGATTCGAATATGAGAGTTTTTGATTTGGTTAGATATTCCTCAAACCTACGGAAGATAAGTCTGTGAAGGATAGAGTTCAAAGCAGGCATAACTACAGTGTAATTTGTTATTTAATTTTGTTTTGACATTAGTTTAGCTTTGATTTTAAAAAAAATATTTAATGTTATACATGTACCTCATGAATGATTAATTCTTTTTCTAGTTTTTATATTGGTCATGTGTTGTTTTAAATGGTTATTGACTTCTATATCTATAAAAAATGTATCAAAAAACATAATTTCATAAAAAATATCAATAAAGCGGAACGAAATTTAAATTCATCTGTAATTCATGAGCTCAATATCTGCAAGCATTTAGAAAAAAAAGTGGGAAAAACCGAGCGGGAGGTTCTGACAAATAGAGGGACAGACGGACGTACGGATAGAGAGACGGACAAACTCGGCCTTTTTCCGGTAGGGGACTACAGAGTGTAATAATACGAGCGATGGATACCACCTTTTAAATAAAATAAAAAAGGATAAAAGAAGCTCATGATTCTCTTTTTTTCTCCTTGCCGTTTTTATTTTTTTTATTATATATTGTTCTGCTTTGGAAAACTTTAATTGTAACTTATACATAGTTTTCAAATATATGACAAATTATCTTTCGAGCTGTTTCCCTTGATCGTCATAATGGTGATCAACCTGGTTATTTTTTCCTCGTTGTCTAAGAAATTCTTTGGGAAAATTTTAATTGAAAACTATCTTTTGTTAAGTGTAAGTATATCCTTCAAAATATAATGTTGAAAAAAATGTAACCAGTTCTTCTTAAACTTTTTTTTACAACATATTAAAGGGCACCTTTAGTCAAAAATTATTGTTCAATTAAAATATATATTCGGTTATTTAAAATCCAGTCCTGAAAAAATCACGTTTGTAAGATGTGTGGTTTAGCTGAAATTAATTAAAATGTCAAATGCTCGGTGAAAGTAATCTGAGCTCGGCAGTTTCCGCTGTTGTCGGCTGCATGACGAAAAGAATGTGAACAGATGCAGAGACAGCTTCAATGTTGTTACACTACATGGCATGTAAATAAACATGTCCTGTGATACTCACAGTGAAACAAAAAGGGGTAGAAGATGTGTAGCGGGTGGGTGTTCAAGTACACATTTAGATGGAGTGTCCCTGCACTATTTTCCATTTAAAAAGGAACCACATCTTGTACCAAAGTGGACTGCCTGTGTTAGACTTAAGAGAAAATGGCCTGAGGGCCCTACTAAATATTCCAGCCTTTGTGAATTACATTTAGATGACTCTTGTTATCCATTTGAGTATCGATTCAAAAAATCACAAGGAATTCCAGTGAAGAACAAAGTTCTAAATCCTGGGTCAGTACCAACAAAACATCACCCTAGTGTTTTAGGAAAACGTGATTTGAGCTCTATTGAGGAGGGTGAGGAGAAATCCAATGAGAGAGAGAAAAAAGAAAGGAAACGGATAAGAGGGGCATTTGTAAAACGAGAACATTTTAGAGTAAGTAGATTTTACATTTTACACCTTAAACAAAGATGTTATTAGTAAATATTTTTAGAAGGTCTGGAAAATGTTTATACTGGTAATTCATAACAAAATATTTGAAGATGATACATGTATCTTATTGTAGATCATTACAGAGAAAACAGAAGTTCAGAATAAATCTATGCAAGAAGCTGAAGCTAGAAAATCAGAAGAAGATTCAAATTGCACAATGACTGACAATGAAATCAATGTAAGCTTGAAAATGAATAGAAATATACCATACCCTTTAAAAAATAATTAATATCTGGACTGAGTATGCATACATGTATATCCTGTTCCATAGTCTTGTATATTAATTTAATTGGGATTTTTAGAAAGGTTCAGAAGGATTTTCAAAATCAAAAGAAGCCTTCAGTCAGACAAAAAGGTCATGGAATAAAAGAAGTAAATCTAGCCAAACCAAATCTAAAACATCTACCAAAGGTAAATATAAGATGAACATTTTCTGAGACTTAAGAGTTTCAATTAATCTAATTTAAAAAAAATATTAAATTGTGAAATGGAAGTATTTTTTTTTCAATCAGGGACTCAAATAAATATGTATCCTGCCAGAAGAAGTGTGGGTATACAGTGCAATATAAACGATAATGAACAATCTATGAGTGATCAATTCCTAAGATACGAGGATGACATGCCAACAGAATCCTCCGACCTGGAAATTTCTTCTGATTCTGAATATCAAGAACATCCTGAAAGTGATGATTCCATGGAGTATTCCTCCGAGGAAAATGAGTGAGTTTATAGGTTGTATTTCATATTTATTTATGCTGGGAAACTCTGCATGATCAACTTTTTTTAAAAAGAGTTTTTTTTTCGTTTGCTTGTCAGAAAACCAAATGCAAGAGAAGAGAAGAAATTCATTGTGTTTCAATCCCAACTGATGAAGTTATTTCATACCTGTTCCAAATGCAAGTCTCCAGTTGTGGGGAAGATAAAACAAATAAAAGGATCATTCATTTCAGTTGAAGTGGAATGTATTCTTTGTAATTTAAAATCAACATGGAATAGTCAACCCTATATTGGAGAGGTACCTGCAGGATATCTTCTGATATCAACATCAATTGTACTATCAGGGTCCATTCCAAGTAAAGCTCTCAGAATGTTTGAATTCATGAATGTTCAAGCTCCAAAACTGTCAACATTTTACAATCATCAAAAGTGCTATATACATCCTGGAATTTTTCATATTTGGAAGAATTTCACAAATTCTTATGTAGAATATGTGAAGCAACAAGGAAATCCACTGGCTCTGGGTGGAGATGGCCGAGCTGACAGCCCTGGACACTCTGCAAAATATGGGGCTTATTCAGTGATAGATCTAGATGAGGGGCTAATTGTGCACATAGAGCTTGTTCAGGTACTGTTGAGTGTTAATTACTGATACATGTATTCTTTTCGTATTTATGTAATATCTTAATCATTTTATCCCATTTATTCCTGTGTGTTAAAATATATATGTATATATACATATATTGTAGTCAAATGAAGTCAAAAGTAGTTCCCACATGGAATTAGAAGGTTTGATTAGAACAATGGCTTATTTTTGTGATATGGAGGTAGAAATAGGCACATTAGTAACTGATCGGCATGTCCAAGTCAACAAGTGGGTTCGTTTTCGGTATTTGATGCCATGATTGTGCAGCATTGACATGAACACCTACTTGGGTATCAGAAAAGAAAAAAATTGTATAAAAAAAATATTTGTTTGAAATTTTCTTTGTCAAAATATTTTTGACCTTAATGAAACAATGCAACTTTGATATGTATAATTGAATTAAAAGAAAATTAAACTATTCTTCACCAGTCTGTGTTATGTGTTCTGTCTTCCTCATCAGCTTCTGAATTGTCGGATGCATCTTCATCAGAAGTTGCATAAGGCTCATATTGGTATGGGAGAATACCAAAGCCAGCATTTTCTGTCCCAATAGTATCAGAATCTGTCTCTTCATGGTCAGAAGAATCTTCACTAAGATCTTCTTTATTGTCTAATTCCTCCTCAACATCCAAATCAAACCAAATGTCATTTTCTTCTAATATTTCAATTTCATCTGTTTGTGAAGCCATGATGCTAATTGTAAAGTAAAAGGCTCTCGCGGTCACATTCGTGACGTTTCACATTCCACAGCTGATAAGAGAACTTTTGCAGCTTTCACGCTCGTGTGTTTCCGTGAGCAGGCAGAAAAAGTCAAATTTTAATTGTTTTATCGGCTAAACCGCTGCAGATAAAGAGGTGCAGATTTTTCATGTGTCCATAGATAAATTACTTTTAATGATTAGTAAAAAGAAAATATTTGACTAAAGGTGCCCTTTAAACTCTTTTATGGCAAGTGGTGGCTTCTCCATATGAATGAAAAATCCCTAGAGGGACATTCAACAACAACAAAACGACAAAATCAAACTTTATTGATTTTATAAGGCACTGTAAATTATGTTCGGAAACAAGTGTTTTCTGTTTTAATTTTGTTGCACACATTCATGTTCGGGGACGGTATCTATTTAAAAAAAAAATAAAATCATTAGATTAAAATATATGTGATGAAAAATGATAAAACAAAATGAGACTTTATAACAGTCATTTAAACTGAGTATTATGTTTTTTTTTAAAGTGTTATTCTTTATTTTTATGTATGTTTTCCACAGAAACAATGAAAAACAACGTCTGATGTTACATGTTTTACACTGTACCATCTGCACATTTTAACACATTTGATCCCTCTGTGCTGCGGCCGAAAGAGAGGGCACAAAATATGGATTAAAGAAAATTATGAAGGTGGGATAAGAATATTTTTTTAGAAAATGGTTACTAAAGCATTCAAAACTTCGTACTATTTTTGTTTGCTTAGTATAGGAGTGCTATGTTATGTTACCCAGTTTTTGTTATGAAATTAATAAAATGTAGACAATCCTTTATGGTTAAAATCGTTTAAGGCTGTATAGATTTCGTTTGCTTTTCATTCACAAATTATTTGAAGTAACATTGCAATGTAGAAACCATTAGTCACATACTATTGTTTTTTCTTCACCCTATTGAAATTATTCTACCAAATGACTCCAATCTTTTTTTTACCACAGTCTATAACACTTGTTCTAAATATAAATCAACAAAATGGGAAATCCCACAGTTTTTGCAAAACACATGTGATTATCTGTAAGCAGGTAAAAGACTCTTTAATACTATGATATAACTTTCTACTTAAGTTTTAGTATTCTTTTTAATCAATACAATTTTAATCATGTTAATATAACAATGAAAACATTATTATTGCAATTTATGTTACTTTCGTTTTCTTTGTTTGTATATATAATGCACATTGGTGAATAGTGTAGTGATAAAGGATGTGTAAATGCATTTCCAATGCCCTTTCACACTGACCTCATGGCCACCCATCCATGCCAACATGCTTCCATTGTCATACGAAAATTCGCCAGGCCTACGTGATGTGCATGACAAATAAAGCAAATAATGCATGAAAAATATGCAACCTGGATATTCTTTATAAAGAACCCTCTCGCTTAGATATCTAGATAGAAATTGACATTCATCTTTTCTGAAAAATTCTGCCAATGAAAAATAAAAGAGTTCCCTTGAATCAAAATAGTATTGTTTGGCATAATTTATACAATAAAAAATACACACATCTCGTCAAATAATTAGAAGGCGCTGAAATAAAAACCCCGGATGAACCACTCAAGACCCATTACATTCACACAACATATAGATGAATTAGAATAATACTATCTGGTACACATTTACTTCACACATACATTATCATATACATAAATACACTTAATAGCTTTGACTAGACACACAGGAAGTTGAGTTCGAGATACGTATACTTTAAAAATAAATCCAGATTTTTTTTTATTCCATTATTTCTGATTTTATCTTATACTGATGAGAAATGAAAAACAAACTGAATTATTATATCAATAAGTAATTATGAAATTTATGAAATATCAATCTTAACTTCTTAGTATGTTTTCCAAAGAAACATTGAAAAAGTCTCATTTCCCGATGTGCACATTACCAATAACACAACAAAAGATTTATTCGATCCATGCTGCGGCCAAAAAAAGTGCATTAAATATGGACCCCGGAAATTTTTAGAGGTGGGATAAGAAGCTAAAATAATGATATCAATTTTAAATTAAAAAGGTAACTCAATATACCAGTATGTGTCATAATAATTCAAATCAAATTATTAAGTTGTTTGCCATTAAAATGTATGATTCCCAAACATTCAACATCTAGTAATATTTTATGCCTAGGAGAGGAGTGTAGAATCATTGTTATGAAATAAAAAAAAAAGTTAAGGTAATTCTGTATGTGACATGAAATGTCACAAGCTTTTAAGATGCACTGATTTGTGTGTACTAGAAACAACTGTTTTTTCACCCTTTATATTTAGAGAAAATATGTGTGATCAGGAATTTCATGTATTTCAGGAATTTTAGGAATTATATGAAATTCGTATTCTGCTTAGGGAATACACGTATTTACTGATTTCAGTTAGTAAATACATGTAATTACTGTACTTTTCAATACTTTTTAAACATATTTACTGACTGTGTTTTGTGGTATAAATTACAATATGAATCTTAAAATTTGAAAAATGCACAGTACATTCAATTTTATATCAGATAGCATACCATATGCGAATAAATAATATTTTAAAGAAACCTTTACTTGTTTATGAATTTAAGAAATGCATTATTTGTTAATAAAAAAAAACATTATGTTACTCTGCTTTCATTTTCTGGAATGTGTTTTCCAGATCACAAAATACTTTAACTAACTTTCAGTTATTTTTATAAATTTTTTTTTAAAAAACTAAAACGGCTTACTTTGCATTTCTTATTTTATTATATGGATATACAATGTTATATTAATTGACAGTAGATTAAAACCTGGACGCATCTTATTTACAAATAAAACAATTCTTATGCTGTCTCCCAAATAATGCACAAAAAAATCTTGTTAAATACACATAATGTAACGAAATTGAAGTCAGTAATTCAAGATGGAACTTTACATCAAGGAATTTTTCATCCTCACAATTTCAGTAGTTCAAAATTGAAAAATTTATTTTTACAAATTAAGTTTAAATTAACTAATAATTGCAAAACATATCTATGTTACCTTAACTTTAAACATGTAAGACTCAAATAAACAGAAATACCACATATTATCACCATTTATAATTCGTACATTTTTGATAAATATTATGATAATTAAAAAAACTAGTTTAAATATATCATTGTGATGCTGAATGCAACATTTTCATAGCTTCTTTAGAAATAATATTTTTGAAATGTGAATACATGTATTTGGTACTCCATCAAAATTAGAAGTACAATAAAGAATTCAAATTTAATGGATAACATCAGCTTCGTAGAAACAATTCACACCGAATGCTGATTTAAAAACAAGAATTTAAGTATTTGTATACATACTGAATGTTTTAAGGGATATACATATTCATCCAGCTTAGTTCAGTAAAAACTGTAAAATTGGCTAAAAGTTTAAGTAAATACATGAATTTCCTAGCTATTCAGGAATTACATATATTTCCTAAAATTGCCAGTAAAAACAATTTTTTACTAAATGGAAATTCCTGATTTCACATATTTACTGTTACACCCATACTAATATGTTCGGAACCTTTTCCTTTTCGGTGTTCTGCTAATTATTTAACCCGTTGAGTTCAGAGTAGCTCTGACAGTGGCTCTGGCGAGAGTAAGCGAGACTTTAGCGAGGTCGGGTAAATCATTCACGGAAATGTGGCTAGGAAGTAACTACCACGTGGAGACATGGTAAACAGAAAAGTTATGTTACGTTTTAGTTTTCACCACCCTAAAATATCATTCTGTAGAAATGTACTTCAATAGATCTCTCTTGAATTCATTCAAGTTTAAGTTATAAGTATTCTCTATGATACAATTTTTTGCTGTCATGAATTAAAACTTCCTTTTGGACAAATATAATCAGATTAGCAAATGAGTCACCAATGTGAGTTTAACTGACAAATCAGCTGAATGAGAATTGCATTATGGGTAACTACGAATACTACTGGAATTTTACGCTTGATAAATTCTTTATTGTACTATCGGTGAATACAATTGTCAGGTAGATTCCCTAAAAATGTTTTGTCCATTTAAATGCATTCGAGGTGCTGCTCGTTTTCCTTACCTTTGAAGTGCTGTTTTTCTGAACTTGACACTAACTAAACGTAAACATTTTATAAAACATATTATTCTCTAATTAACAACAAATTAAAAAGGCCCGTGAGCCCCGTGATATCTTTCATAGTTTCTAATGTTTGCATTTTGTTCATAAGAACTTTTTTTTAATTTTGCACTCCGTTGACATGATCATAGATTGATCTGAACCACGTGTTTGAAGTAACATGTAAACATGTATTTGGCGTGAACGTAATCAATCAACAATTGGTCAATTGCTCGTGGTAAGATCCTCTGTGCGCATTAATAGCAATAGCCATATAAGACAAACAAAGGTTTGTCAGTGTAGATGATATTACACATTTTTTTACCAGCGTATGGGTCGCTATTCAGCTCTAATTTTTGCAGTAAACTGTGATAAGATGTGTAAACTTTTATTTACACCCCCCCCCCATTTAGCCACCCCTTTCTGTTGAAAATGATTGAAGTCTTTCAGAAAGGTCTGGAAACATATTTTTCACAGGATATGTTTTTAAAAAAAACCAGACTATAGCAAGTTCCTGTTTACTGCCAATTTTATTTATAAAACCGATTCTACCCTATAACCTTTGAATAGGTAAACCTAAACCACGTGTCTTGAATTTAAATCACAATTACATTATTTATAGATTACGTCCATGACTCCACTTTTTAACACTAGCCTATATAAGGACATTTGATCTATATTTAAATCAACAAAATGGAAAACCCCGATTCAGGATTAGGAACAAATGATATTTACGTAACTTTATCGAAAACTTATAATTACGTAAACTCATCGGAAACTTACAAAACAGTGGTTGGGAAATCACTTGAAGATTTTAGGCTTTGTTGTCATAGTAACTGAAACAGAGAAAGTTGGATACTTCTGACTTAAAATAATAATTTTGAATATCTGCTGATTAAAATGACATATTAAATGCATATGTAGCTTTTCTTAAAATTTATCTGTCTGCATTTACATGTACATATGTCACATATGTTGTGAAAACCCTGTTTATTGTTTTTTGTCCTGTCTGTCTGTTTTTCTGTCTGTTTGCCTCCCTGTCTGTGTGTTGTCAATTTAAACCTTCGCCATAATTTTGAACCATGAGAGATTGAGACTTTATATTTTGTATGCATACGCCACTTATTTCAGTCTTCCAAATGACACCAAGATCAATGACCTTGTGACCTTGACCGTCTCTTTTATGCATAAAATAGCTTTTTCGAACTTTTTGCCACCGGGTGCATCGTGTTTCACAATCACATCTTGTTATATTTGGCGCTTAAATTGAGCATCATAGTTCTGGCAACCCGATTAAGTTTGCAAAGTACTTCGCAGGAATTGGTCTTTCTTGCTTTAAACATTTACAAAACGATAAATACATTTAATTCTTTACAGACAAACGATACGTTCATAATGAAATATAATATTTTCTGATATTTTGTCATTGAAGTATTCCGACTTCAACATGTGTACTCATTAAAAATGAGATACCTTACTAGACATTTGTGCAAGATACCAAATGATGGTGTTTCTCATATAATCCTTCTGAAAAAAAATGATTTAAATACCCAAAATATTAGCTGATTGATTGCTAGAATTGAGTACTCGAAACCAGTCTGAAAATCATTGTGTGACTATGATTTTAAGCCTTTTTTATACATTACGAAGGTATAGAAAACATATATCTGAGGAACGTCTCTTACGACCTTAAACAGCAAATTAAGATATTTTTGTCCTTTATATAACCAGGTATGGCCTACTACGGCTTTGGATATGTTGTTAAATCCTGTCCAAAAAACCTTTTGGAACACAAAGCAGCAGCCTTCAAGTTAAAATTTGGTGCCGACAAATACGCCAGAAGTCAGTATCTATGCATTCCCAATTTTAAGAAGACAGCTCTAGTGGAATATTGCCTGACTGGTACAGTGGCACCTTATAATCAAGGTTCGTATTCCATGACATGATTTATAAGAATTGATTTTATAATATTTCTGACTTAATTAACTTTATATGACAATTATCTAATATTAACACTTAACATGATTATAGTTATCTACTTTACGTACATGCACTTTTCTTAGCTAAACACGCGACTTTTTTCCCCGTCATTTTCAATACCGGTATATGATCAAAATGCTATTTAAAATTTATGACAAAACATAAAAAAGGTTCACTTTACCTGATTGATAGGTAAAGTTGATTTGTTTTTATTTTCAGGCTGATTTATAATAATTTTTTTCCATGTCTCCATGAAGGTAACTGCCTGGTGGTTACCAATGATGGGGCTGTAGATATCGTCAACTGTAGCAGTTTCACCGAGGGTTGTCCTAACAGGTTATTCAGAAGTTCAGATGTTTATCAGTGTAAGTTCGGTCTCAAATGATCAGTATTTCAACAATACAATCGCACTTATGCATTTCATTCTATAATTGTTCTATCGAGTAAAATCAAAATATTTTGAAAGTATTTAATTAAACACATTCAATTCCTGGCTCAGTTTCATTATCAATATTTATATTAAAATAGTTCCAGCATGTCTCGAAATAAACACAGAAGAGAGGTGTTTCTATGCAGATCCGACATGTCCCAATACTAGTTTTAACGACTTTTCTACAAGTGGTTATTCTAATATAACAACAGAAATTTCTCACGAAAATGACCAAACTCCTGCTAGCGCAATAGCAATCATTTATATCGTATTACTGGCTGCAATATTGGCTATCATGTCCATTGGATATTTAAAGATGACTAAAAGGAGGAAGTCAGGTATACTCAATCGGAGTCCATACTCCAAATTATTGTGAAATGATATCAATGTTCATGGAGTCGAATGTTCGTGGACTTACTCATAATTTTACAACCCCAGGAAAATGTTTTTTTTCTAAATATATTGATTCATTGAGCCTACCGTTAAATCATGTAATATGTTTCAGAACTTACCTTTGGACCGGGAAGTTACTCATGTTGGAAAACTTCGGCATCAGGTAGAAGCTATTTGTATGTACATTTTTGTAATTATCACGTTTTTCCATTTTTTTTTTAAGCGTGATAGTTTTTGTTCTGTTTATATAGATGTACTACATCACCCAGGTATATTGCTTCATAAAAACATCAAAGCACTTGGTTTAAATACAAGTAAACAAATAAATCTTTATAAATAAGCAGAATATTTTTATCCTCCTGAACAACCAAAATGTTGGATATACATCCTTGGTTGATAAAGCACTTCCCGAAGTGATTATTTTATCAGATTTTAAATTTAGTTTTGTGATCGTAGCACGTAACCTTTTTAAGTCTGTCCGTCCTTGCGTCATCAACTCTGTGGTGGGAAACATTCCCTTAAAAAAGTGGTCACAATTCTTTTTCAGATTTCTCCATTCAGATAGTAACTAAATAAATAAGTTCATCTGTTAAGCCACAACGTCTAAAAATATGTAAAAGCAATATTGGCAAATATTTCTTTTTTCCTCCGGTTACATCTAGTATGTGCCAACAGACATTTGCAAAGGAGTGAATATATTGTGTCCCAAAAAATTATAAACTGAAAAATTATTCACAATTTGGCCTTAAGCTTTACTCAAAATTAGAATTAGAATTATATTAGAAGTACAATTTAGTAAACTACTTAATGGAAGATACGTTGGAAGGAGTTATTGCCCTTCAATTTTTCACTAGCTTGCATTTTTGATAAAACAAAGAAAATTTATGCATTGTTATATTCTTTTACGAAACGTTTTTTTTTTCTTATTCCACTTAAAGATATACACACTATATAAACGTCGATTTTTGTGTGACACAAAATTATTAAAAGATTTGAAACAATGCAATGTATAAAAAAACGGATACTTTCCACAAAATTTTGCGAAAGAAGTCTTTGTAACAACAAATCAATCAGGGAATATCTGCAATTAAGAATTCAGCCTTTTCATGGATATTGATGAATGAAGTGAGTAAACAGTATAACACGTATATTTACATTTGCAAATATCTTTCCTAGTTGAACTTATTGAAGAGAAAATATGTTCATTACTGTGTGAATGTTATTTGGAGTTCAGAGGTCATAGAGCGACCAAATCACAGAGCGATGTGATATTTTGTCTACATATTTCTGTCACGGTGCAACTTGTTTTGGAATGGTTCTAAGTTAATAATAACAATGAACATGATAAAATGATAAACAATATGGATATTTTTCAATCACGAGAGGTGCAATTAATCTTCTTTTGATGTGAATAAGGTTTTGAATTCTATAGATTAGGCTTAGCCTAGAACCGCACTTACCCTTTTTAACCTGAAATTTAATGGAGTTATGTAAACTAAAACAGGCGATATTACCGCTTTTGACTTCAAAAATTGTGAGACTTATGAAAGAGTCAAATTATTCTCCGTAATTATCATATGTTCTTTCACTAAATTCAGGTATTTTCTGAACTAGACTGCTTAACACGAATGTAAACATTCAAATGTTGGAGCGAGGTAAACTAACTTTGACTAAACACTTCTAGGTCATTGCGCGTCACAACATAACAATACGGCGGCCCCTTCGTATAATAAATGCAATTAAACTCGAAATATATTCGTCTCAAATGTTATATATAAGTAATAAACTGCTCTTCGGGCTTCACAGTATTTGATCACGTGACCAACTAAAAGTTCATTTCCCAAAATTTATTTTAACATTGTTGTTTATTTCTTAAATATCCGCGGGAAATCATAGACACCGAGATGGTGACTACGATTATTAATAAAAAGCTTTATATATGTCATTACAGAGTAGATGATTGATACTGATTACATTGAAAAATAATATAAGACTTTTGCAAACTATGTCACGAGTGAGTAGTATTCCAATGGCATTGCAGGGAGATGGAAATACATTTAATGGTACTATATAATGGTTTAGATATTCACACGTTTAAGACTTAGGGATAAGTAACCAAGACAAACGTTTTCCGCAGAATGTGAATTATCTTTATGTATTCTGACTCCCTTCTCACTAAAAAATATATAATTCACCATCTATCAATTTTATGATTGAACAATTGACCAAAATTTGGGGGAAAGTTGGAAAATGTATGTGTCTTGTTCAAAATCATCTTTAAGTTAGTTTCTTATTTATTTTCGGTCATTTTTATATTATTAAATTTTTTAATTTTTTAAATATTTTTTAATGGAGTCTTTACATTGTTACTTCTTTTGAAAAACCAAGGAATACGTTGCCCTTTCGACACTAATAAAACGAGAAAAAAAAAACATTTACGCTGAAAAATGACATTTATTGAACCATGTCAGGAAAGAGTTGTCTCCTCTAATGTCTGCATGAACACTGTCCAAACAAATATTATAATTTTCGTCAACTTTGATTACATTGTTACCCTGCTGCCTCTATTTTTTCTTCAGACACCCTTCTGAAAGGCTTACATGTATATTTAGTATATTTCCAGGACCGTAGCTGGAGACAATGCAAAAACGCATGACAAAATTACGTATACAGTGGACCCTCATTTATCCGGACGCTTTGGTTCCCAGTCAATTTGTCCGGATATGTGAAGCATCCGGATATCTGAATCACAAGTTAAACAAGACAGAATAACATTTTAAGATTTCGTTCCGATGAAAAATCGTCCGGATACTGAAGCATCCGGATATCTGGCGTCCGGATATCTGAGGGTCCACTGTAAATGTTCAGATAAACTTTATGATATTGTATTTTTCTAGATGACGTCTCCACATTATCTGATGATGAGGTGGCCGTGTTGTATTGCTTCCTTTGTTCTGATTTCGGTCCACCTGATTTCACAGACAAAGAATGGCTGGACATACTGAATGAGATACTGCGGATAGTAAGCGATAAAAAAGACCCCGTGACAAGCGAGGAGGCACATATTGTTCTGAACGGACTAGAGTCACGTGATTTTGTTTGGGAAGATCAGAACAAGATAACAGAGGACGTAAAGGATGAGATAATGTTCAAGTTAGCTTTAATAGACCCTTCTTTACCTTTCTACTGACAGTAGTTATGAAACATCAAGGAAGTACCTGAGGTCAGAAGGATACAGAAGAAAACCCAGAGAGAAGTGTGTTGTTTGTGGGATCGATATGTTAAGTAACTATATTGATTACTTACTTATATCCCGTTTACAAATGAACACACTAACTCACGTCACAATTGAGGACGGGGATATCCTTGATGGATTATATTGGATACGTAAGTATTTTAAAAGGCACTTTCATAGTTTTAAATGCTATGTTTTGTTTCTTACATGTATATATTAGATGCTGAAGCAGATTTAAGGCGTATGCAATCCTCTCCCTAAATCATCAAATTTAAGCTGAATAATAGTCTAATTATAAAAAAAGATGGATATTTGGAAAAAAAGGGTCTAACCAAAATACTTCAATAAAGTATTTTTTGAGGCCAGAGTTTTTAGTGGTTAAGAAACGGAGCTTATTTCATGGAGCTTAAACAATTTATACAAAACTTAGTTCCGTTTTTGGAACCCAGGATTTTCCGCGGTATTCAAAGCCTCATCAGCCCAAACCCTTTCCCATCCCAATGCACTTCAAACCTATAATCAGTCATTGAAATGTTATCTATGTAATAATTTATATGAAATGCAATTGAAACAATATATAAAAAAAAATACACGCGTTCTTTTGTGAAAAGTCCTAACATGTAGTTGAACGCAAGGAAATGATTTGAGCGATGACCACTGAGGACATAAGCATTACTCATTACATAAGTCATAAATGCATTCTTTAAGGTTATGAAGCAGAGCCAATTTTTTTATTTAAGAAAATTTATCTCCATAATCTGAGTTTTGTATCCTTGTTGTTTTATATAGTTAATGTACCAAAGGCGATATCAAGACAGAAGCAGAGTAAAAGAAAACAGTTCTTACGCAATCTTGAACACAAAGGGGAGAGTGCACATTGCAGGGTAGGATCACGTGACTGTGTACCACAAGTGAAATGGTTATGGAATCAAAGGAGACCTGACATCGTTAGATCCTGTATAGGTCTCTACCCTCATTGGGATGTTTACATCATCAATAACAAAGCTTACAAAAAACCAAGTATGATCATATTTGAAAACAAATATCTTCTATCTAAAGTTGTGCCTTCTAGCGAACTGTCTCAGAGAGTTCGAAATATTAATGTAAATACACAGTATAAAGGTGTAATTCAAGTTCATGTATCACATGAAAACAGATAACAAAACATTAGTTAACTGAGACAGTTCAACAATATAGATAATGTTTCAAATTAGTATAATAAGATTCCACAAAAGAAACAATTCACATTTGAAAATACGTATTGTGTATACGTATTATAAAGAAAGGTGATTTTACACTCAAGTTTGTTGAAGTCGTTGTGTAAATGATGCTTGTTGAAATGTTTACGTCAGGAAATAAAGAAGTAATATAATTATGATATATGTTTTAATTTAATTCCAGGTAAATATCAAAAATTAGATTCTGACGTCAGAAGTCTACTGTAATGCTTGCTTTTTCTTGATGAGTGCATGATGAATGTCAACGAAGATAACTACAAACCTACGCTTAACAAAATACGAGAAATATACTTTAAGGCAGGACCCTTCTGTAATGACATTAGTACAATGGACCTTCCTAAAGAAATCATGAAAAGGACAGAAAATAAGTTAATGTTTTCATCAAAAAATATCCAACATAACGTCATGTACGCATTTGTCACCGAGTGCCTGGTGGAGGAGAATCATTTGGAGTTTTTCGTGAAAACAGCATCAGTGAACGTGATTTCAGAATATTGCAGATCCTGGGATCATATGAGGAAAGAAAATGAGAGATGTCTTTATGTACCGATCAGACCGAAGGATATGTTCAGTGAAGTTTCAAAAAGACTATGTGGCAATGACCATTGTACTGTTTTAGAGAAAATTGCTACCGGGACCACCTAAGGAATAATAAAGTTTTACCAAATGAAAATATGGTGTTTACAGTCATTGATTATTTATTTTTAGAAGCATTTTTTAAACAATAAGAGGAAGTTGTATTTCATATTTATCTTTTAAACAGGTCGAGATCACTACCATATACATGTATATTGAGGGCAATTTTCAACACGTGACGATGTCTTCGTCACATCCGTTCCCTAATCAAGAGCCCCCAAAGCATGACTACTACGTGTTTACGATTCAATGCCGATACGTGGTTTTGTCGGCTTACTGTGTAATATCTACTTCGTCACCGGAAAAACCGTAGAGCTTTTTAATCACTTTATAAGTCAGAAATTAATTATTATATTTCAAAGACATTGCTCCATGCTCACATTAATATTGGAGTTGATTTAGATGATTAATAGTTGCTTCGAATACCGTGCAAATGCATTGACGTTTGCATAAAACATTTGAGGGGTTAAATAATAATTGCGCACCTTGTACTGCTATCTAAAGCTATATACACGTATATCACGTGAAAAAAAATACAATGCTTTATCGACAAGACTGCATCTACATGTACGTCTCTTTGAACAATGGTTAAGGCCGATGTTGTAAATGTGAGCATTAAATGAAAGATTATACATCATTTTAAATATTTTTATCATGAATCTCCAAAAAGAATTGAAAATAAGTTTCCAAGGGACAATTTAAGTTGCCCTTTATTTTCAACAAAGCTGAATAATCGTAGTAGCCCACAATGCATTGCAACTCATTCGTCAGTGTGTAAAGTTAACAGATAGCTAATTTGCATGCAAATTTATGCTGACGTCAGAAAATCTAGTGGTCTCGACCTGTTAAAAGAATCTTATCCTCTTAAGAGTCAAAATCAGCAAGCATCGAGCATTGAATGGAAATTCAAAATTTTATTTTTTCAAAAGCTTTTGGTATATGAAAGATTTTGTCCTACCTAATGCTAAAACACAATTAAAATTTTTTTTGAACGTACGAAGGGACTGGTATCCAAGGAAATTCATTTCCTTAGCAACGAGCTCAAAAATCCTTATGAAAATCAATGATTTTTAGACATTTTTCTATGAATATTTTTTCTGAACGTGATAAGATGAGGTATTTTGGTTACTTTATTTGTTGAAAGGTGGAACTACTCTATTCTTAAAAAACAGGAAAAACAAAATTTCTGTACTGATATTGTTGCCATGACAACGGGAAAAGAACATGGCGTCAATGCTTATTAATTTTGAAAAAAGTTACATATGTTTATAACTATATACACAAAATCTACAACCACTGCTGGAAAAATGAACGTTGTGATCTTGTTACGGGTTATCTATATGTCATATCTATACAATAAAATTTGCAGGCAACTTTAGTAGAAAAGAGTTACAAATGGTTAAAATGTGTGATAATCTGGCATTTATAAGCTTTTTTGAAGGGGTGGGGGTAATTTGAATACATGTACAGTGTCCATTATATTGGTCATATTGGTTCTGATCAATGCATACTCATAATTTTACTATTGTTGATAAATAAATGCCCATTCAATTTCAAAAGGAAGTTATATTCCTCACAAACGAAACTTTGAAAAGGGGGGGGGTAGTAATCACCTTGTTCACCGATCCATATGTATGTAAAATTTTGACTTGTCCATAACATTTCAATGAAGTGCCACTGAAAGTTCATACTTGATATTAAGATTGATTGTGATCGAGAGATTGTCAAAAACTTGACTCAAGGTCATTTGAACAAGTTCAAGGTCATTGGTAGAAGAAAAGTGCAATCTTCGCCCATTCTGTAACATTCTAATGAAAAGACTTGGTTTCATCTCGGGAATTATTTTTGAACTGTAGGTTTGTCATGACCTTGACCAAAGTTCATTTGGACATGTTTGACCTTGACTCAAGGACATAGCTTTTTCAAGGTCACTGCAGTAAAAGTGTACTATATGAGTTTGTGCTCAACACAACGGTTTTACTACTTATGACTTGAGTATTTGTCATAGTCATTTTTGGTAAGTACATCTACACTAGCAAAATTTTAATAGGTTTCAAATTAATATTTGGACCTTTTTTGCAATAAAAAACATTTAATGCAATAGCAGGAGGGTTGGTATCATTTTATGAGCTTGCTCACAATAATGCTAGTTTATGAGAAAGAGTCACTATGACAGCTCACATAATTTTAAAGTTAAACCATGTCAATCAGGCATGTAGCATCAGGATGACATCCCCAACCAAACTTTTTTCTCAACATAACCTGATGTTTACCCCCACCCCCGAGTTTGGAGAATTTCCCCACTTTTTTTGCAGTTTTTTTAATGCCTACATGTACCCCACACCATGCACTGAAAAAAAACTAGTTGAAATACTAAGAAGACTAGTAAATTTACTGTCTATACAATAACTACCTTAAAAGTAGTTTCCTGGATAGTGATTAGATTTACTAGATAAGATTAGAAATCTAGAATTGATAAGTAACTTTCACTTGGTATTTAAGTATCTATACAACCCCCGCTCCACTTCTAACTATCTAACTTCTAACTTCTAACTATCTTAGACAGTAAACAGAAAGATTACTAATCACTACAAACGCTTTACGAGGCACACTAGTTAAAATCACTATGTATTTCTTTCAGTGTGCACTTTCAAAAACGATACCATGTCTGTCTTTGGTATTGAACCGATGATATATTCTCCTACTGTCCTAATTTAGAAACAATATTGCAGGACAGCTAAGACCTCCGTAGCTACTGGTGCCTAAAAAAAATCTGGAAGGGCTAAATATGTATGAATGTCTAAATTTGAACTGACCCTAAAAGAAATTCATTAAAACCCTATTGGGCAATCTTTGAATGGCATATATCGAAATTTTTATTGTACTTATATTTAAAAACATTTTGAAAGCAATGTAGAAATCAGAAGAGAAGGAAAAATATGAATATTTTATATATATATGTGTAAGGCCACACCATTAAAAATTTTGTTCGTCAGACCCGCGCGCTCGTATCTAAACAAACCGATACAAATAATATTAATTTAAATTTCCCGCATCATAGGAATTCTGTGCTATTTTCTGTGTCATTTCTGTTTATTGTATTTTTAATCTGCTTACTCTGTAAATCAGAAAAATATAATTGTCCGCTCAAATTTTTTCACGCTCCGCCTAAAACAATTGGCCAGAAAAAAGTAATAATATTAACATTTTACCACTTGCCCGCTTGTACTTTTTTTAAATCAAATGTCCGACGAACAAGAAATTAAATTGGTGTGGCCTAATACCTAGAGATACAAAACATATAAATTTGAGGAACGTGTCGTCCGACTTTTAACTAGTTCATCATCATCATTATTTTTATTTCACTCACACCAACATCAACATGAGGTACAATATATAAATTAGCGCTCTTTCTTTTTTCTCACAAAAACATTTTGTCAGTTTTGAAATTAATTAAAAATAATCATTTAATATTGACCTTGTATTAATTATGATACTTCAGAATATAAAGATATGTTTCAGATTCTTGTACTATCTATTTATGAATCTGCATGCTAAAATTTGATAGTTATTAGATTTACATCAATAAAAAAAAATGCTAACAGACAAACAAAGAATGTTACTTTTGGATTGAACATTTTTATTTGATCCACTTTCATGAATACACTGTACAATTTATGGATCTATTTTCTGGATCCCCGAGTCTCTATTCACTATCCACTCACTTCCAGCATCAATGGTCTGTACTGTAATAATGTATTCTCATAATGATAATCTGAAAAAGTGATAAAATTAAAATGTAATAATATTATACAACTTACTTAGAACCATTTCTAGTTGAGCTTGAGCAATGATGATGAATGGAAAGCATGTTTATTGGAATCAATTAAATTCCAAGAGATCTTAATGGTTAATCATTTTATTTTAAAAAGTTAACGTTTTTACTAAATGTATTATTTACATGGTTTTCCTGTCTAATTCTATATCAGCTCATCCATTCTGTTTCTGCTTCTTTCCGAGTTTGGCTTCAAAGTGCCGAATTTCATTCTAAAAACAGAAGTATACAACACAAAATTGAGACCGTATTGATTTTAGATATTCTTTAAATTCAAAAAACTTGTAATAAAAAGGTCAATTGGTTCTAGGTTTTGTCAAAACTCTAGATTATGGTTTTCATTTCTTTCCAATACCCCCCCCCCAAGAGACAAAAAATGGAGTATAGATATTCTTTTCATAAATTTACGTGCTTTAAATCTAATGATGCTTATTATTGAACCTAGTTGGCTTAAATTAGTTCAGTGGTACCGGAGAAAATGTTAGCTGAATATGAATTTTCTTTTATAAGTAAACACTGGATGACATCAGCAAAATTTTTTTTTAAATTAATTATTCTACTGTGGTATATATACAATTCAGTTACCACTAGTCCACTACATAATACACTTGTCTGTATCACAATACTTCCAAGGTAATCCCCTTTCCTAAACTAAAATATATTAAGTACAGAGTTAACCCCCTGCCCCCTTTTTTTTTACGGACGCCATAACAAACATAGGCGTAGTCACAGGGGGGGGGGGGGCAGCGGGGACACTAGCCCCCCCCACTTTCAGATCTGGTGGGGCAAGAGTATGTCTGTGCCCCCCACTTTTTAATGAAGAACAAAATCACAGCTATTTTGAAATAATATTTAACCTCATTTTATGGCATTTTTTTTAAGTTCAACAACTGAGTAAGCATTTCTCTTGAAGTAATAGTTGTATAATATAGCAATGTAATATAGTAATTAAATCGTCAAGACCTGTGCCGCCCCCCCCCCACCTTTTTCCCAACATAAACTTTACGATAGGAAATGTTCATTGAAGGAATACTTGCCCCCCCCCCCCCCCCCCCCCCCCCACGAAATTGGATTTTCGGGTTTGGGGGACTTTCAATTTTTTTTTTTTTTTTTTTTTTTTGCTTGTCAAAGAATTTCTGGAGTTGAGCCCCCCCACTTTTAAGTTTGTGACTACTCTGACAAAGGTCATTCCATTTTACAAATAATTCATTATAGTGTTGGTTTTCATAAATTCATAATTTTTTATGTAAAAAGCAGGTATTATCTTAAATGGTATATAAAGATATCTATTATTATATACAGAATTTTTATTTACCCGACCATCACTCAAGTTATAATCATTATAGCTGGTGAGTGACTTGGTTACACACATGCCGTGAATACAACAAATCAAAATTAAACTAAATTCAAATTAAACTTTATGATTTGGGATACAGTTATGTAACTGATCATGACCAACTTTTTCACGTTAGGCCCGCAGAAATAATCGGGGAATTTAATTTCATTTTATCATATTATAGTTTAATATCGGCAATATTATGGGGGGGCATACCCCCTCCTCCTGGTTCCTCATATAATGCATAATCTTTTCTTTTTAATTATAAAATACTAAAGTAATGCTAACATATATACTAGTAATCAATCAAGAATTAAATTGAAATACATAAGCTACACCTGCCAAGTGTTACATATTTTACTGCATGGTATTATTATAATTTATGTTAAAGATTCTTCACTAACTGTTGTAATGGTAAATTGTAAAAATTTCAGTCACTCACCGTAATTAAGACTCATGAAAACGCCAAAACTGAGGCTCAGACTGCTCCAAGTTAGTAATTTTCTGCTAGTCTTCTGTACACTGTTATTGAAAACAATGTAAGCAAACTACCGTTTATTCCTCCTATGTTAGAGAGCTATACCAAAGGGAGGTAATTTGAAGCAAAAGTGACAGAAAATTATGGATTTAAATCAGTTATCATATATAAATGCTTTAGTTGCCTGCAGATTTTTTTCTTGATTCATCTAGAACAAATACTGTTTAATAAATATTTTATGTTGATAAGCTTTAATGTAGTTGTAGATTTCTTATAGAGTACACAGCTAGTTGTGCCACATACGTGTTACATATGGTTGCACATAACACATGTATCACGTATGTGAAATGTACGTATCACATACGTGTATTACAAACATACGTTTCACGTATGTGGTACAACGTACGTATAACATATGTGTGACTACATACGTTTCACATGACGTACGTTAAACGTATGTTTGGAATACACGTATGTGTTACGTACGTGAAACGTACGTGTAACATATGTTATGTGCAACCATACGTTACACGTACGTTGATAAACGTACAGTTTACATGTGTATTGTCAACCACATGTTACATGTACGTTAATTAACATATGGTTTACATGTGTATAGTCAACCACATGTTACACGTATGGTAATGAGCACATGGTTTACATGTGTATAGTCAACCACATGTTACACATACGTTAATGAACTCACGGTTTACATGTGTTTTATAAAGCACAAATGTCATGTATATATATAGTTTATGTGCATTATAAACCACACATTAAATATACTAATGTACATAAATAAATTATGGTTAACTTGTTTTCTAAAGCTCTCATTACATATATGTTGATGAATATAGTATGTGTATTATCAGGCACATGTTACATATGCATTTAAAAAGGTGTTTTACATGTGTGTGAAAACCTATGTTTGAGAATGAGAAGGCTGTATATATTTTGTAAATTCATACTATTACATACATGTATGATAAATGTAGGTTGGCTATAAATCTAATCCTTTTTATTTTATTTCAAATTTAATTTATTAATCAAATTATCATTTAGTTTTTGCTATAAAAAAAAAAACCAATGCGTTAAACATTTATTGTTGCTAGGGACTACATAATTTCGCTTAAAATACAGGAACTTTTTGTATAAAAGTATGGCTGACTTCCACAACTAACTATTTTACCTTAATAGTTTAAGTGATTTTGGAGAACTAATCAAGATATTATTTAACATAACAATCAATAGGCACTTAGCAATGCTTAGGGCTTAACCTGTTATTCAGGAAGAAGAGCAATCATAGTGATATGACCATCTATAAAATCCTTCTTATAATATGTATAACGTGTTCTTAGATCAGAAGTTGCATGTATTTTATTAAATTAATAATTATATATTTTAAAATCTAAAATATCTTTTTTTGACATAAACATTGATGTTTGGTTAAACCCAGAGTTATTATAGTAGTACAATTCAGCATTTTAGCACCAGCCTAAGCACCATCCCCATAGGGCATGCGAAGTAAAGGCCCAAGTGGGTCATGCGACATGCGTGCTTCCTTCTTTCACTTTTGAAACGTATTCAAACGAAAAGGTATATTTTTTTGAATTTGTTATATTAATGATAATAGAGTATTTATATTATCGTAACAGGAAAAATGAGAATACAATCACATACATAACTCCTTTACTTTCGTTTATAAGCTAACATTAACCATGCTAACCCAATCATTGATTCCCATCCCGAATTTTTCTCAAATTTGAAAGGGGAAAATGTCTCGACTACAGTCTATATATACCTACAATATTGAATTCGGTACCCAGCCAATAGCACGGCCCAGAATACCCCCCCCCCCCCCCAAAAAAAAATAAAAAATTTATGTGTAAAGTAGAAAGGCTTGGGTTTTGAGTTTTGACGAAATAATACTTTTGCTATTTCATGATTTAGCATGTATCGCACTGAATTTTAAGGGTGTGGTATTGATAATGTTAATACATGTACATCTAATTATTTCATTCTATATAGTGCACTATTCAAGAAATGTCTGCATTGTAGGTTGTAGATTAAAGTCAGTGTGTCGTGGTGTTAGGAAAAGAATGGCCAATGCAAGTAAGTTGTTTATTTTATCCATTAAGCTGTACAATCCTAAATTTTCATCAGTACTAGCACCATACAAGCTCTACCTGGCTACGTGTGGATGTAGGCAAAAGCGTTTCGACTTCTCTTTAGAGAATATATAAAAGCCTTTATCTTGCAATTTCACTTGAAGTCACTGCTTAATTTAATGTGAGAACTTCTTATCACGAACTGTCTGGCTCTTTGTATAATGATGTCAAATCACAACAAGAATAATTCACTAATCGAGATATGATCAAGAAAATTAACATGGAATTCAGCTCAAGAAAAATAAAAGCGAGAAAGTTTGTTTTGAGAGCCATGCTTTTCAATTTTCACCTAACCGTAAACATAGTTGTTTATTATGTCATATTTCAAGAAAGCAACCAAAAATATGATATTAACCTCCATAGCACTAACACAGTGTACTGCACACATAAAACGTTTATAATGATAGCACGTATGAACGTCCTTTATTACACTAGCACCACGCATATATAGCCTTTATTACACTAGCACTATACGTACAGATTACATCCTTTATTACACAAAAACTGCATGTATAATCACACATCCAGCATTTGATACACTAGTAGATTACATAAAAATCCTGTGTAACACTAGCACCACACATATACAACCTCTAAAACACTAGCACCACACATATACAACCTCTATAACACTAACATAACACATATACAACCTCTATAACACTAGCACCACACATATACAGCCTTTATTACACTAGCACCACACATATACAACCTCTATAGCGCTAGCACCACACATATACGACTTTTATTACACTAACAACACATATATCTATACAACTTCTATAACATTAACATAACACATATACAACCTCTATAACACTAGCACCACACATATACAGCCTTTATTACACTAGCACCGCACATATACAACCTCTATAACACTAGCACCACACATATACAACCTCAATATTACTAGCACCACACATATACGACTTTTATTACACTAGCACCACACATATACGACTTTTATTACACTAGCACCACACATATACTACTTTTATTACACTAGCACCACACATATACTACTTTTATTACACTAGCACCACACATATACAACCTCTATTACACTAGCACCTCACATATACAACCTCTATTACACAATTGCCACATATACGTCCTTTATAAAACAATCACTACATATGCAACCTTTATTACACTAACACCACAAATATACAACCTCTATTACACAATTGCCACATATACGTCCTTTATAAAACAATCACTACATATGCAACCTTTATTACACTAGCACCACACATATACAACCTCCATTGCACTAGTAGCACACATATACAGCCTTTATTACACTAGCACCACACTTATACAGCCTCTATAGCACTAGCACCACACATATACAGCTTTTATAACCTAGCACCACACTTATACAGCCTCTATTACACTAGCACCACACATATACAGCCTTTATAACACTAGCACCACATTTATACAGCTTCTATAACACTAGCACCACACATATACAACCTCTATAACACTAACACCACACATATACAACCTCTATAACACTAGCACCACACATATACAGCCTTTGTAACACTAGCACCACATATATACAGCCTCTATTACACTAGCACCACACATATACAGCCTCTATAACACTAACACCACACATATACAACCTCTATAACACTAGCACCACACATATACAGCCTCTATAACACTAGCACCACACTTATACAGCCTTTATTTTACTAGCACCACACATATACAGCCTTTATTTTACTAGCACCACACATATACAGCCTTCATTTTACTAGCACCACACATATACAGCCTTTATTTTACTAGCACACACTTATACAGCCTTTGTAACACTAGCAACACACATATACAGCCTTTGTAACACTAGCACCACACATATACAACCTCTATAACACTAGCACCACACATATACAGCCTTTATTTTACTAGCACCACACATATACAGCCTTTATTTTACTAGCACCACACATATACAGCCTTCATTTTACTAGCACCACACATATACAGCCTTTATTTTACTAGCACACACTTATACAGCCTTTGTAACACTAGCAACACACATATACAGCCTTTGTAACACTAGCACCACACATATACAACCTCTATAACACTAGCACCACACATATACAGCCTTTATTTTACTAGCACCACACATATACAGCCTTTATTTTACTAGCACCACACATATACAGCCTTTATTTTAGTAGCACCACACATATACAGCCTCTTTAGCACTAGCACCACACATATACAGCCTCTATAGCACTAGCACCGCACATATACAGCTTCTATAACACTAGCACCACACTAATTACACTAGCACCACACATATACAGCCTTTATAATACTAGCACCACACATATACAGCCTTTATAACACTAGCACCACACATATACAGCCTTTGTAACACTAGCACCGCACATATACAACCTCTATAACGCTAGCTCCACACATATACAGCCTTTGTAACACTAGCACCACACATATACAGCCTGTATTACACTAGCATCACACATATACAGCCTCTATAACACTAGCACCACACATATACAACTTCTATAACACTAGCACCACACATATACAACCTCTATAACACTAGCACCACACATATACAACCTTTATTACACTAGCACCACACATATACAACCTTTGTAACACTAGCACCACACATATACAGCCTCTATAACACTAGCACCACACATATACAACCTCTATAACACTAGCACCACACATATACAACCTCTATAACACTAGCACCACACATATACAACCTCTATAACACTAGCACCACACATATACAACCTTTATTACACTAGCACCACACATATACAACCTTTATTACACTAGCACCACAAATATACAGCCTGTATTACACTAGCACCACACATATACAGCCTCTATAACACTAGCACCACACATATACAACTTCTATAACACTAGCACCACTTTTATACAGCCTCTATTACACTAGCACCCCACATATACAACCTCTATAGCGCTAGCACCACACATATACGACTTTTATTATACTACCACCACACATAAACAGCCTCTATAACACTAGCACCACACATATACAACCTCTATAACACTAGCACCACACATATACAACCTCTATAACACTAGCACCACACATATACAACCTCTATAACACTAGCACCACACATATACAACCTTTATTACACTAGCACCACACATATACAACCTTTATTACACTAGCACCACAAATATACAGCCTGTATTACACTAGCACCACACATATACAGCCTCTATAACACTAGCACCACACATATACAACTTCTATAACACTAGCACCACTTTTATACAGCCTCTATTACACTAGCACCCCACATATACAACCTCTATAGCGCTAGCACCACACATATACGACTTTTATTATACTACCACCACACATAAACAACCTCTATAACACTAGCACCACACATATACAACCTTTATTACACTAGTACCACACATATAAAACCTTTATTACACTAGCACCACACATATACAACCTTTATTATACTAGCACCACACATAAACAACCTCTATAACACTAGCACCACATACATACAACCTCTATAGCACTAGCACCACACTTATACAGCCTCTATAACACTAGCACCACACATATACAACCTTTGTAACACTAGCACCACGCATAAACAACGTCTATAACACTAGCGCCACACTTATACAACGTCTAATAACACTAGCACCACACATATACAACCTCTATAACACAATTTCATCGAACCTGTATATCAATAGCACTACATTTATACAATCTCTATAGCCCAGTTTTTATGTTACGGTATGTAATGGTTTCTATATAATTGACAATATTTATTTGTTTGCACAGGCACAGATTATTTATATTTCTTTTATTTTAACGAGGTTTAACCAAAGTAAATGACCAGTACTGGGCTTCAGTTCAGAACAAGGTAAGTCCAGCATATTTGTAATATACCATTACCATGATTACAGGTTTCATTTTTGATTGAAATTTGTTGTCACAGTTTATAATACATGTAATTAAAAGAAAAAAAATTAATTTATTTGCTCTAGAATTACAGACAGGAGGCCACATTTATAATATGTGTGTATATATGTATGTCGGTCAAAAGCTCTACAGAGCTTATGTTTATGTTGTAAAATCCGACTCTAAATAAATTGTTCTGATTCTGTGTGTGTGACCATTCATGATGAGCTTAAAAAAATTTAAAATAAAAATTTTATAGGCCTTCTACTTGTATGTTTATTAAGAAATCACTTTCTAGTTTTGAGGGTATGACAGGACATCAACAATAGTGGGAAACATTGGATAATTTGCATAACGGGCGAAGCCCGTTATGCTAAAATTATCCCATGTTTCCAACTATTGTTGATGTCCCTGGCAAACTCTCAAAACTAGACAGTGATTCCTTATATTTCCATTTCATTGTGAAATAAAATTGTAGACTTAGACATTAAAATCTTGACTAATAGATTTAAATTACACGAGGACTTCCAGGCCAATTTCAATAGTCCTCGCACACTGACGTCAAACACAAAGGCATCCGCACGAGATTTTCATGCATATTTGGCCTCCTTAGTGTCAGACACAGAGACAGATGCGCACGAGATTTGCATGCGTTTTAGGCCTCCTTAGATGCTGACCTATCGACCTACCTAATTTACATTCCGGCAGAATTATCAGGAAATAAATTCCCCCAACATTCAAACAGTTATCAAAGAGAAAAAAATTAGAAATGGAAATATTTCAATATGTAACATGATTCTAAGGGAAATATATAGGGAAATGAAATTGTTGATTGTGTTTTCATCACTTGGGGCACAGTGTTTCTAAAATACTTATAAATCTAGAATTTCTTAAATTCAAAATAACCATAAGCATATTGAGTATGTGGTCACTACAAAATACTTTTTTAGGTTAAAGATTGGATTCAGAAAACCGATGCAGCAGTATTAGTTTTATATATTCCACAGCCAACAAAGCGTAATCCCATCCCCACTTTAAAGTTTGAAGGTAGTTTTTTTTTTTAAATATGTATGTATTTTCAAGAGTTTACATGGCATTTTCAAATTTTCTGTTCAAGATATTGATTAAGAATCTGTCATTCTCTTATTTATTGATATAAAAAAAGTGAATGTCTAAATATTAGATTTTGTAATTTATATATTAGATATAAATGTAAATACCCTGTGAAAGAAATGAGCACTTTTGATAATTGAAAAAATAAACTGTGCAAGTTTATTTCATTTATTTTAATAATTACCTTTAATGGACATGTCTTACATTTTATTTGAAATGCATGTACATTTGCCTAACATGCTTACGTATAGGGTCAAGGAAGCTGAAATGGGTGGTTGAGTCTGATGAAGTGAGGAGTGTCATCAGTCTGGCATGTACTGGTCCTCCCCCTCCAGTGAAATTAGTTAAAGATGGTAATTAATGCATGTACAAAAGGATATTCTTTCATGAAGAATGGGATTCATTGAAGAATAGAAGAAGAGAACATTGTATTTTAAACTTTAAAATTAAAAAAAAAATATGTGATGGGAATGAAAAAAAATTGCATCTATGCATTTATATGGATGAAAATTATATCCAACCACAAACCAGGGGAGATTTTTATTCATCAGTTTTTATTAGGTCACCTGAGTAAACTCAGGTGACCTATTGCTATCCGTTTTCGTCCGTCGTCGTGCGTCGTGCGTCGTGCGTCGTGCGTTGTGCGTTAACATTTGAACATTTTCAGCTTCTTCTCTGCAACCACTGAACCAATTTCAACCAAATTTGGCACAAAGCATCTATGGGTGAAGGGGAACAAAAATTGTGAATTTCATGATCCCTGCCCCCCAGGGGCCTGAGGGTTGGGGCCAAAACCACTATAATGAATGCTATCTTTAAAAATCTTCTTCCTTACTCCTGGGCATCAAGCAGTCAAACTGTTTGCATGATTGTAATCAGCAATGAGTCCTCTACCAAAATTGTGAAATTCATGGCCCCAGGGTCAGGGGTTCTAGTGCTAGGGCGGGGCTAAATAAGTAGGTAGTGAAAATGCATTATTTCTTTGAAAATCTTCTTCTCTGCTCCTGGGTATTAAATAAACTAACTAAGTGCCTAGTTATGATGAGCAAGAGTGCCTGTACCAAAATTTTGAATTTTATGGCCCCAGGATTAGGGGTTCTGGTATTGGGGGGGGGGGGGGCTCTATTGATTATATAGTGAAAATACATGAATTCTTTGAAAATCTTCTTCTCTGCTCCTGGGTATTAAATAAACTAACTAAGTGCATAGTTATGATGAGCAAGAGTGCCTCTACCAAAATTGTGAATTTTATGGCCCCAGGGTCAGGGGTTCTAGTGCTAGGGCGGGGCTCTATAGATTATGTAGTTAAAATACATGAATTCTTTGAAAATCTTCTTCTCTGCTCCTGGGTATTAAATAAACTAACTAAGTGCATAGTTATGATGAACAAGAGTGCCTCAACCAAAATTGTGAATTTTATGGCCCCAGGGTCAGGGGTTCTGGTGTTAGGGTGGGGCTCTATTGATTATATAGTGAAAATACAGGAATTCTTTGAAAATCTTCTGCATTGCTCCTGGGTATTAAATAAACTAACTAAGTGCATAGTCATGATGAGCAAGAGTGCCTCTACCAAAATTATGAATTTTATGGCCCCAGGGTCAGGGGTTTTGGTGTTAGGGTGGGGCTCTATAGATTATATAGTGAAAATTCATTAAATCTTTAAAAATTTTCTTCTCTGCTCTAGGGTATTAAGCAGATGAACTACCTATATAGTTATTATCTACAAGGGCCCTAATCTTCCAGAATTGTGAATTTCAAGGCCCCAGGGTCAGGGGTAATATGGGGGGGGGTGTACTTATATACTGAAAATGAATGAATGGTTTGAAATCTGCTCCTTGGTATTAATCAGATATCAAGGCCTAAGGGTCAGGGGTTCATGTGTGGTAGGGGCACTACTGATTATTGCTGAATATAACTGATTAGTTGAAATGCATTTTTTGTTCCCCTACCTTGTGTATGGGTATTAAGTAAACAAACTAAGCAACTGCTAAGTGTATTGTTATGATGAATTAAATTTAATCACTGGAAAGTTGTTGCATAATGCTCAGGTGACCTATAAGGCCCATGGGCCTCTTGTTAGATCTTACATCATTTTAACAAAATTGTTACTGATTGTATTTTATTTTATTCAGAGATGGCGAACATCGTCATTCAACCATGGACGATGCAGGTGAAGAGGTGTATTATCTCTAACTTGGTTAGGCATTATAGTGAGTAAATCAAAAAAGATTCCATAGAATTGTATTTGTGTAAGATATAAAAATGTTTTAAAGTATATTTTGACAGAAATAGTTTTGTGTATCTAGAGACATATAATAATTGTATATGTGAATGTTGTATGAATTTTATATTTGCTTTATATTCTATTTTTATACTTCGTTAAGTTTTGTTTTATTAACTTCAAAACCTTTTTTTTTAGTGGAATTGAAGTATGATAGGAAGAGGGATATTTGGGGGTATCCATCCCTTAAACCAGAGTGGTGGCCAGAGGAAATTGAGTACATTTCCCCAAATGAAAGACGGACTGTTGGTAATATGTTTAATTATATCAGTTTGCTTTACTGGTGTGCAATATTCATCACCTTTTCTACAACTCATCACTATTTTTACGTATAGAAATGTACATTATACCTGTTTTGTATATTTTTATGTTGTCCTTTGTTGTTACAGTTGTTTGCTCATCATGAGGCAAAAATTACAAATGTAAGAAACATGAATTCATGTTCAAATCTCACATATTTCACTTGCATCACATTTTCCTTGATTTTAGACAAACCATTGAGTAATATTAAGATGGATCAGATTCTTGATTCATACGTAGAGTGGAAGGTATTGGAATGATGATTTTGAGAGTTGAACTGTTCTGAAAGTTTAGAATTTCTAGTTTGTAGTAATGTGATTGCACGGTAATCAGGATATAACAAATCTTTATAGTGGGTGGGTGGGATGTTATAATTAAGGGAAAAATAACTTGTTGAAATTAAACAATTTTAGTCCTAAAATAATCTAAATTTTAAAGATGCATTCTTTAGTATGTTTTTGTTATTGACATGATTATCTTGCAATCTTTTGAAAAAAAATAGTAATTTATTACAAGTAGTTTAGTTTATCAGATATGTTTAAGTGAAAACAATTTATTTGAAGTTTTATAGTATTTATTTGTAACTGCAATGCATATGCATACATGTTTAATTACACATGTTTGTTTACATGTTTAGTTTATTTTCACTGAAATTTCTATGTAAATGGAGTATTTTCAACATGAAATCACATCTAATACATGTGTTACAAAATGGCCAAAGAAGCCTTCTCAACCAGGACTCAACCTAGGGTCTGTGGCATATGCTCTAAGCACCAAGCTAATGACACTTTTTCCACATGCAAGCCCGGTGACACATATATTTTAAATTTTAACATCCCAAAAATAATGTGATTGTATTAGTCAAAATGAATTTTGTGCACTTAAGTTACCTGCATTTTAATATTACATGAGCTTTTGCCTTGTCAGTACTAATGTGCATGTCCTGTTTTATAAAATTTCTTGTTCCATATTTTATAATACTATACTTTCTTTTAAATATCTTGGATATAATTCATCAAGAAACCTTTATAATAAAATCACTGTTACTTTCTGAATAATGAAACTATCCTCAAGGGGGGAAAGCAGGAAGCAGAAGTCAGTATTACTTGACAGTGAATATACATGTATTAAGAATTGACTCCATTGAGTTTATGCATCCCCACTTCATCTTTCTTTGTATCATACATATATATTGAGGGGGGTAGTTCTTTGTCCATTTGTCCATACTCTATATACATGCAGTTTTATGCTATTTCATCTTATATTTCCTGTATACAGTATAATGTTGATCAGACATAGGTAATATAATTTTACAGAACTCGCCTTAACAATATTTTGTCATATTGATGACCCAACATCCACAGGGGTATAAGTTCCAATTGAAAAGTTCTAAGATTTCCAGGTTTCCTAATTTGCATGTAGTATTCTGTACTTAAATAATGTGATATACAGATAAAGTTTTGAAATACAGTGTAGAAATGCTTGAAGACAGAATGAATTAAGATGTTATTGAAATGGCATGCATAATGCTTCACATATAATTGCATGCAATATGTTCTTTGGATTGAAAATGTTGATTGTGCATTGTTATTACATGCAAACACACATAAATTTTATATAAACGTCAAATAAATATGCTTAAAATTGTGATAAATTAAGCAATAAAACATCCAACTAAAATAGAATTTAAAAAAAAAAATAAAAAAAAAAATAAACCAAAATATCCTTATGTATGTGTATAATACATGTACACTACAATATTTTAATTATCAATCTATTTGATACTTCCAGAATTCAAATGGTAGCAGTAGTAAGGATTTTAAAGAAGGAAGTGGAGAGGTATTGGAGGAGGTAAGTGGCAGTGAGGAAGTCATTCCAGGTGCTTCAAATGAAACACCTGGTATGAATTCTTCTCTGCCTGCCTCTCCAACATTGAGTGTTGGAGAGGGTTTCTTTTCAGGTGATCCAGGGAGTATGGATGAGGAAAGAACTGAGTCTGAAATGGAGATGACACACGATCCAGCATAGTTAGATGAAAAAATTTTTAAATTAATTTACTCAACATATAAACCATAATCATATTAATTCCAGGTACTTTTCCAAATTTCCACAAGCAATCTTCTTCAATATTAAGAGTTTCCTTATGCCTTTCAAATATGTAATTATGAATGAACCAACCTGAACTAGTCATCTCCTCAGAATTTTCTTCAATGCCGTAAAGATCTTTGAATTTTCTGCAAAACTCTTTGGCTGCCTCAGCATGTATACATCCTGCATACAGTTCATCTACATCTAAATAGATATACATAATAATAGGCCTAATAATATGATAATGTACATTGAAAATGGCTTCAAGGGCATTATGCATTAAATTTAATTGGACCCAAAAACCAAACTGTTTGTTTGCCTTTGGCCATAATAAACCAAAGGCAAAGAGTTTGGATCGAGAGGTTGACAAACCAATTTTACTTAAGAAGACAGTACAGAAATGCTTTGTTATACCTTTTATTTTTTAATCAAGTTCTGGCCTTCATGATGTAAATTTCTTTTATTAGAACTGCAGGAAAACTTAGTTTATTCTGTCACTTTTCAACATGGAATAAATAATTTGACTTTAGAAACAAGCGAGTTGGAATCATACCTTCAGAGGTGCAAGATGAAACTTTGTTCATGAAAGTATGCCTGTCTATATCACAAGAGCAGGCATATCCCAAGTGTGGCATTTTTTGGACAATTATTGTTCTGAATTTCTAAAATTTGAATTTAAACAGTTCTTAACTTGAAAAAAAAACATTTATATTTTGTATTCAATCTGCATGCAGCAATCAAAATAGAGAACAAAGTGTCTTTATTTTATGTAAAGATTAAATGATTCATATATCATGGAAACGTTAGGAAATACAAAACTAGATTAAAAAATCTGTTTAAAAAATGTGAATTAAAAAAAGTCAAAACTGGAATCTTTACACTCAGTGATTTTTCATTGGAATCCCAGTCCATTAGGGCACACACTTCCAATTCTGTGTCCAAAAAACCACACCCCCTGCTTTGAAAGATTGCAAATAAATATAATTTGCAATCTTCTGTTATTTCCCCATCAAATTTTAAGGGGACAGCACCACTGAGGGGCTCTTCACGATTTTCATCAGTATTTTAGATTTGTTGTTCAACATTTTGCTGGTTATTTGCCGCAGGGATGTAAGTTGAAGTTCCACCAATTGTGCCCTAATAATGTGGATAAAAACACTTTTAAATAAAAGAACTCTTATCTAATTTTTCCATTCTTTTAATTCACAACTTAATATTGCAAATGAATGCACAGTGTATTTATAAAGTAAGAGAATTATCTCATGAAAGGAAAACCTTACAGCTTTTCTGACTTTGTTTTTGGTTGAACCACTTGAAGACTTCGAGTGGCGTCTCTTTACTGGCAGTTTTGAGAAGTCCAACCCACATTCTCCCTGCACCATAAACCCTTTCCTCCACTTGTCTACTGTAGGTTGAACCCTCTGTTGTAAAGAAAAAAATTGAATAAAAAATTACATATAACTAAACATAACTTTGTTAAATTACACACTATACCTTCAAGATTTGAAAAATAAAATCCAATCATACCTTCTTCTTAACATCATCAGAATCCATTTGAGATTGTAATCTTCTGTGAACAGTATGTAATCCTTTTTTGTCTATTGATCTATTAATAATATAATTTGTATAAAAATGTTAAATTTATTATATAAGATATAAATGCATTTAGATACTAGAGAAGAATTTATAAATAACTCAAGAGAGAGTTTTTATTTCCTTTAAGATAAATTCAACAAAAAAGTAGGGGTGCTTGTTTTAATATGACATATAAAGGGTACTGAAGTTTTAAGATCATTGTACTACATGTTAAGCATGGAGCCTTTTTCAGAGGTGACGGCTAAAATCAAGTTGGTACAATTGTGGACAAAAACAAGACATGTATGTGTAACACTGATGTCCAGTAAAGCTTTTGGAGAGGGTTGAAGTTTCTCAAATTCAAAGGTCAAAGGATGAAAAAGTTCAAGTTTTTTGGGTGTGGGCCAAACTCAAAGCAAAGGGTCAAATTAAAGAAATACCCTTTTACCAAAAAAATGTACCAATAAAAGGCCTTATCATAAAAAATGTATGTAAAATATTCTGTATATATACATGTATATACATCTATATGATATGAGCTATGTAGGAAAAAAAGTGCTTAAAGAATTATGCTTATAGTGCTAGAGAATATTTAGAGGGAAATTCCAGTCAGTACGTATTCAAATACTAAAACTGAAGCAAACCTGCATGGTTATTTATAATATCTCATTTAAAATATACCGAATGCTAAATGTTTTACCTTAATTAGTTACAAATCAAATTTTTCTGCTTGTGGTATGCATGCAACTTCCTGGTGAAACCAACTTAGCATAAGTGAACAAACTGCATGGAGATACATGGGGTACAGGGTCAACTCCTTCCTTTTTCATAAAATATAATTAATAAAGCTTAATCATATATATGGCATGCCAAATTCACAAAAATGAGCAAAACATAGTTTAAGAGTCGATAAACTAGGTTTATCGGTTGTAAACTATAGTTTACAGACTGTAAACTATAGTTACCAAAGTTAATCTATATTTTACATCTGAAAACTATAGTTAACGTGATAATCTAAACTACACTTAACACCGAAAACAATCATTTGCGATTAATAATTACATTTTCACGATTGTAAACTATGGTTTACAACTCTTAACTATAGTTAACGAGCGTAAATTATAGTTTACAGACGTAAATCTATGTTTATGAACAAAATCTATTGTTAACCTTTTATTACACACAGATAAACTTAGATTAGCATTCGTAAACTATAGTTAACAACTGTTAAATATAGTTTACAGATAAAAACTATACTAAACGAATTGTAAACTATAGTTCATTTTGTAAACTATAGTTAACAGTCGATAAACCTAGTTTATCAATTGTGAAACTATGTTAAGCATGCCCAATTCTCAAATATGAGCTAATGATAATCATATTATAGTTTACTATGGCATGCCAAATTCACAAAAATGAGCAAATCATAGTTTCACAATCGATAAACTAGGTTTATCGGTTGTAAACTACAGTTAACAGACTGTAAACTACAGTTAACAAGGTTAATCTATATTTTACATCTGTAAACTATAGTTAACGCGATAATCTATGTTTCACAACCGTAAACTATACTTAACACCGAAAACTATCATTTGCGATTGCAAAACATAGATTATCTGATAAATACAGTTTCACAATTTGTAAACTATAATTTACAAATCGTAAACTATAGTTAACAATCTGATAAATATAGTTTCACGATTTGTGAAACTATGATTAACAACTCTTAACTCTAGTTTACGAATGTAAACTATAGTTTACAAACGTGAATCTAATGTTTATCAACTAAATCTATTGTTAACGCTATATTCAGACAGATAAACTTAGATTAGCATTCGTAAACTATAGTTAACGACCGTTTAATATAGTTTAACAAATGAAAACTATACTTAACGAATCGTTAACTATATTCAACAATCATTAACTATAGTTTACAGTTTGTAAACTATAGTTTACAGTCGATAAACCTAGTTTATCAATTGTGAAACTAGGTTTATCTCATTTTTGTGAATTTAGCGTGCCATAGTTGGGTACCGTCGATAAACTAGGTTTATCGGTTGTAAACTATAGTTTACGGACTGTTAATTATAGTTAACTACGTTAATCTATATTTTACGTTTGTAAACCATAGTTAACACGATAATCTATGTTTCACAATGGTTACCGTAAACTATACTTAACACCAAAAACAATCATTTGCGATCGCAAAACAAAGATTATCTGATAAATACAGTTTCAAGATATGTTAACTATGGTTTACAATTCTTAACTATAGTTTACAATCGTAAATTATAGTTTACAGATGTAAACATATGTTCATCAACAAAATCTATTGTTAATGTTTTATAACAGACAGATATGGCACGCCAAATTCACAAAAATGAGCACATCATAGTTCACATAATCGATAAACTAGGTTTATCGGTTGTAAACTATAGTTTACGGACTGTAAACTATAGTTAACAACGTTAATCTATATTTTACATCCGTAAACCATAGTTAATGCGATAATCTATGTTTCACAGCTGTAAACTATACAAAACTCTAAAAACAATCATTTGCGATTGCAAAACATAGATTATCTGATTAATACAGTTTAACGATTTGTAAACTATAGTTTACAAAGCGTTAACTATAGTTAACGATCTGATAAATATAGTTTCACGATTTGTGAAACTATGATTAACAACTCTTAACTATAGTTTAGATTGTAAACTATAGTTTACAAACGTGAATCTATGTTTATCAACAAAATCTAATGTTAACGCTTATTACAGATAGATAAACTTAGATCATCATTTGTAAACTATAGTTAACAACTGTTAAATATAGTTTTACAGATGAAAACTATACTTAACGAATCATTAACTATACTTAACGAATCGTTAACTATAGTTTACGGTTTGTAAACTATAGTTTACAGTCGGTAAACTATAGTTTACAGTCGATAAAGCTAGTTTATCAAATGTGGAACTAGGTTTAGCTCATTTTTGTGAATTTGGAGTGCCATACATATATGTTAATATAGTGAATTTTCAACATGGGTCGGTAGAAAACGGTAAACTGATATTTCATTTTAGGTCTGATTTTATATGAGACGCTGGAAAAAAGTGCTTGAAGTATTATATATTTCGATTTGATCATGCTAGAGAATTGATATTTTATAAGGAAATTCCAGGGCATTCAAATCCCATGCTGAAGAAAAAATTGTTTAAAATGAATTAAATTACATTTACACTTAATCTATATCTTACCTTATAGTTACTAATCAGTTTTTTTCTGCTTGTGGTATGCACACTTCCCAGTGAAACCAAATTCATGATGGGTATATGGATGGCATCAATGTGTAACCTGGGATACACGGGTCATCAATCCCTTCCTTTTTCATAAAATATAAAGCTTAATTATACATATCAGAGGTGAATTTGCAACATAAATATGGCAATTTGTCTGTAGAAAACTGTAAACAATATTCATTTTGGGTTTGATTATGATATATATGAGAGGATGGAAATAATTTTAAGGTGCTTCAAGAATTACTGTAAACCAACTTTTATTCGTGGCCATGTGCATTAAATATTCGGGAATTTAACAAATATTAATCTCCGCAAATGGTCAGAGATTAGAAGAGCTTAATTATGTGATAGTAAGGTGTCCATCGGCTGTCCGTCTGTCTAGCTGTCCATCTGTCTGTAAACAATTTTTCAAAATGCTACTCCTCCTACAGTTTTTGGTTATCAGTGTTTCCATGGTTACTAAAATTAGGTCTAATTTTATTATATTTCAATTCAAACATTTAAAAAAAATGATCAATATTTTACCTATGTTACAGCATTTGTCTGCTCGTGGTTTGCCCGGTGAAACCCAAATCAATAACATGGCAGAAGCCGAGATACACGGGTGCTTCTATCCGTCCTTTTTCATAAAGTATAAAGCTCAATTACATATATCAGTGGTGAATTCGTGATATAAAGATACAGGTATGTAAACACTCCCCTCGACACAGTGAAAATGAAAGTAGAAGGTAACAGAACTTTGGCGCATGCGCAATGGAGATGGTGCTTAGGCTGGTGCTAAAATGCACAGCTATACTACTATAATACCTCTAAACCCAATGACCAGATCACAACTGAAGCATACACATGTGTGTGCGTTGTTGACTTGTCGTGTGCGTATCTAATGTTTCAATTTATTTCACATTGTTTACCTTACGTCCATTTTCATGTCTGGCATGATGTTATGAGTTCGCATTGGTTTAAAATTTACTCTAAAAACAATAAACAAAGTTTTCTCCAATCTCGTCATGTGTATCGGATATCGGTAGAGGCACATAAAATTGAACTCGGTCATCGGTAGATATAATCAATCCGAATTCAAGAGCAAAAATATATTTTAAAGAAAAGAGAGAAATTCATGATAAATTCACAACAAATCTCAAAAGGGAGTAAATGATTCATCTAGATAATTATCAAATATACAGTGGGTACCGTCCGTATAAAACTTATAAAATATAAGCAAGCTGAAAGCGTATGGAATAGGACTTGAAACAATTCAGTGGATCCAAGACTACCTAAGGAATAGAAAACAACAGGTTACAGTGAATGGGAGAAGTTCCGAGTGGCATGATGTAACATCCGGCATACCACAAGGCTCCGTCTTAGGACCGATATTGTTTGTAATATTCATAAACGACCTACCAGAGATCGTCGAGTCAATGGTATACCTTTTCGCAGATGATACAAAGATTTTTAACATTGTGAAAGAAAATGGAGATCAG